TCATTTGCAATCTATATTTTGATTAGATTAATCCAATCTGTATCAAGAAATAGAACAGGGAGAAATACAAAGGGCTAGGAGGCAACTTAATATAAACTCTCCTCCATCTAGAAAAGAGCTTTGGTCCCCTCTGTGACTCCTTGTGGCAGACTGGCTCTGGCCCAGAGGCCACACAGTCCTAGACATACATGTCCCTCCCTTCTACCAAGCTCCAAGCTTCCAAGCTGAAGCAAATGGGCAGAACTTTGTATCAGCTCCACGGGCAGGAGAAAACACCTCTGCTGGTGACAAGCCCCCCCGCCCCAGGACCAGGAGACCCTGCTTTAACCTTTACTGCAGGGAAGGAGGGGGACAGCCCTGCCCCCACCCCAGCCCTCCCACTCCTTACTTTCAAATTCACTGGCCCTTTCCTGCAACTCCTACTGATTCTGACTGATTCGTGATTCAGCCTTCTTTCTACACATTTGAGGAAAGAAAGACTGAACCCATTTCACAGACTGGAAAATGGAAGCAGAAGGTTCCAGTCCTCTGTGAAACCACAGTCCCGGGCAGCTCAGGCTCTGGGAGCTGATCCAGACGTCCCAAGGGGCTCCTCGAAGGTCAGCTGTGCTGAGTGTATTCCACGGGGTAAGGACTCTCCCAGGCAGAGCACTGCAGGCCAGGCAAGTATAGGGAACTTCCCAAGAAGCACAGGAAGGGGCAGCTCTGGAGAGCTATAAGAAAAACAGGGGGTGGAAGTGGGCCGAGCACCACCCCAACTGCTGAGATTCTCAAGAGAAAAGGGAACTAGGAGAGGTCACCTAGGCTTGACCCTGCTGGTATACAGGCCCTCTGCACCCTCCCCCCCCCCCCCCCCCCCCCCCCCCCCCCCCCCCCCCCGGTCTCACTGCATACCTTTAGCAATGGAGACCCTGCTTCCTCCCCAGGCATCCTATTCCCGTTAGGCTCCTGTCCCCCTTGGTGCTGTCTCTGGCCTCAGAGGCACAGGACAAGGCTATGCCCTCTGCCCACAGAGAACCCTGCAGGGGTTCAAAAGCGGTAACACTGCCACTTAAGGGTCTTTCCCCAAACTTTAGGTCACCCGTAATGACCCCGATCCCCAAGGCAGCTACCAAGTCCTGCAGCCTCCTCCTCCTTTCCTCAGCCCCATGGCCTGTGTCGGGCTTTGGTCAGCTCTCTGCTGTACCACAATTAGCATAAGCTCTGAGTGGGTCTCAACGCCACCAGTCTTGCCATCATCTTTGGCCAAATGACTTCTGAGAGGAACTGCACGCGAGGGCAGAAACAGTTCCGGCCTGTGTTCCAATACAGCTCTGTAAGTGACTCAACCCCTCGGAGCCTCCACTTCCCCATCTGAAAATGGGGCAGGGGTGGGGGTTCCTAGTGGCAGCAGCTACTTTGCAGGGGTATTGTGAGATTTCAATGGAGCGTCTGTAAGGAGCCTGGCACGAGACACAGTAACAGGCATCGACTCAAGGAGCTGCTTACAACCCTCTGTCCTCTCCACCGGCTACAGAATAAAACCCAAACTCCTGAGCAGGATGCTGCAAACACCCCACAACCCAATCTTGCCTCCCACTGCCCCCTTCCCCTGGCCTGCATCCTCACAAACACTTCCTCCCCCAGGAAGCCCTGCCGACATTAACAACCAAAAGAGCTTTTCCCCTCTACTGACCTTCCAAAGCCCATCTATCACTGACCACGTCCTGCCTCTTTACCATCACTGATCCTCGTCTTCCCTCCCCCATCAGACCAGCAGCCTCTCCACTGAGAAACAAGCGGCACCTCACCCCATTTCATTTCCCCATCACCCTACTCCGCAGTTTCCATACATATTTAACAAATTACCCTAATGTTCCATTTCACGTAAAGCACGTCCAAGTCCTCCAAACAGTCCAGATATTTCAAGCCATACCCAAAACTAAATTCCAAGCCAGCAGAAGTCTGCCCAATCTCTAGGGACTTGTAGGCCTGGCACTGGTCCCAAAGTATGGAAGACAGGTCGAGCAGACCCAAAGCCCAGGGCAGAGAGAGCTCAGGGCTGCTGAGACTAGAGCCCGTTTCCACGTTTCTCAGATGCAGAGTCTCTCAGTTGGCCCCTGGGCCAACCCGCAGTCTATGATTCCATACTCGACCACATCCTCAACTTGTGATCTAAAATTGCTTTTTGCATGGCCCTTGTCGACAAGAGGCTCACTATCCATCTTTTCTTGCTTGCTGGCTCCAACCCTTCACCTGTTGATTCTCCCAGAGGCTTCTCTCCCTCCTCTGATCACGATGATAAGGATCGTCTGGCCATATGCCAAGGGTCATCCCCATCTCTCAGGACCCCTTTCAGCCATCCAGCCCCTCCACTCATTGCCCCATATTTCTGAGTCCCCTCAAAGTCCAGCTAGTAGTGGAATTTCCACTCTTGTTCCTACAGGCTAACAGTGATCTGTCGGCCCAGGAGGGCCCCCTATTCATGGAGTCTAGCAAAGGCCTGCAGACCCTGCAAATCCCAGATTGAGCATGGGCACAGCCCTCAGAGCAGCTCAAACAGCAATGCCCAAACTTGCATCTCCCAAGAACTTTCATTACCTACCCCACTCCATTGTTTTAAGATGTCATTTATTAGCTAGCAAGTTGTTTTCCACTTAAAAAAAAAAATTACTCAAGTCCCCCAATCAGAGGCTGATCAGCAGTCATGAGATGGTACCCCCACTAAAAGATTGGGCCAGCACAGGGCATTAAAGCCAGTGGAAGTCTGGGTCACCCCACACATTCACTCACGGGCCTACACTGCGTCCTAGGCTCAGAAATCCCATATACACATGCATTTTCCAATAGGATTCTGTAATCCTGACACTGGCTCAAAGTCACCCCCCATGACTGTCCTCAGGGACCTTTGGGGCTGGAGCACCTAGAACAGCCCATTAGTTTAGTAATAAGGACCCTGCTGATGATTCATAGAAGAGGACACCTGGGATAAAAATCCCTTGGCCTTATGTCCCTCGTCGCCCCAAGGACTCCACTTCTTGGCCCTACCTCTGCCCCCTGCTGATCTGAAAGTGACCTGGTCTGAATGGAGATGAAAGGCTCTGCCGTCCCCTGGGTGCTGGGGAAAGGCCTGTTGACAAAGCCACCAGCTGTCCCTAGCTGAAGCCAGGGACACCAGCTCCTCCCTGCACCCCCCGCACTGGGAGAGCATTCCTGCCACGGACCCAGCCAGCAACCAAAGTTGGACCATCATAGAGCTCTGGGCCCAGGCTCCAGTGGACTTCCCTTCTGCTCCAGCTGCCCACAATTATAAGAACTGGGCACCAGATCTCACCCTGCACCAGTACCAGGCAGAAGGAGCATCAGCTGGGGGTAAGGGTAACGGGGAAAGGGGACAAGGGTCCTCATAACTTGAACTGAAAATGACACCGCAAGCTCAGTCACAGCAGGGCCTTACAGAGCTCTGTAGCTGAGAGCTCTCAGGCTGGGGGAGGAGAGTCAAATCCAAGCTCCAGCACTTCCCACCTGTGTGACCTTCACCATCCTGTGCCTCAGTTTCTCCCTTGGTGAAATGTGGTTAATAGGAAAGTGGGAGAATTGAATAAAATAACGTACGTAAAGCAAGTAGCCCAGTGCCTGGCACATAGTAAACATGCAGTAAATACTTGTTGAATAGAAACATGCCACCCTTTACTGAGGTACCACTGGTTCTCATTTCAACCTTATTCCAGAAGATACTATATTTTCCCCATTTTGCAGGTAGGGAAACTGAGGTGAGGGGAACCAGTCCAAGGTCACAGACCTGGGAAGTGACAGACACCCAGGTCAGTCTGCACCTCAGACCAGGGGGCAGTACTGCCCGAGGCCATCCTGAATGACTGGGGGTTGGTGGGGAGGAGTACAGCGCTGGGGCTAGACGGGGTTGGGGGGGTTCTGAATCCCCTGGGCCTGGCTTGGCTCCTGGCTGACCCGTGTGCTCGAATCCGGGAAAGCAGAGCCAGGAGGCCAGTTCCCAGATTCCCGGCCTGTCCCAGAGCCCACGCGTCCACCGGCGCCCCCTCCTCACTCCGTCCCAGGGTGTTCAAGAGCAGCGTTCAAAACGGAGGCTCCTGGCTCCGAGAACCTGAGGGAGGAAGGGAGTTAGAGACCAGGCCGCGCAGTCCCGAGAAAACCGGTCCGGCTGCCTTACCCTGCCCCGAGCGGGGACCCGGCCTCTAACCCCCTCCCTAGCCAGACAAAAGTTTCCCCTGTTCGGGAGGAGGGGAGGGGGAGGGGGCATTCCTCGTGAGTGACATTATCCGTGACCTACAGCTGCCGCGCTGCCCTCGCCCGCACCCTGGCCTGCCCCCGGCCCCCGCGCGGCCCCCCACCCCTTTGTCCTCCCACCCCGGTGCGCGGGGCCCCGGCAGACTCGGCTCGCCCGCCCGGCGCCCGCCCGCCCGCACTAAACTTGCGCCGGCGGCCGCTTGGGCCCCGCGCGGCCTGCACGCCCGGCTCGGGCCCCGCCGGCCCAGCGACTGGGGACTAGCTGGCCCCGGCCCTCCCAGCCTCTTACCTGCCCAGGCTGGGGCACCCCCCCCCGGGGGGAGGAGGCGCTCCCGGCCAGCCGCGGGACGCCTGGGTTCCCCCCCGGGCCGTGCGGGCGCCGCCGGGCTCTGGCCCCGGCCGGGGTTAACCCCTCACCGGCCGCCTCCCGCCGCTCCCACCCCCGCTCCACGCCGCAGCCGCCGCCACCGCCCGCTCCGCCTCCAGCCTCCCGCCCGCTGTCCCCCTCCCCCTCCCCCCTCCCGCCCGGTGCCCAGCCCCCAGTCCCGGCCCCCGGTACTGCGCTGGGGCAGCTCGCAGTCCCCCCCCTCCACCGCCCGGCGGTCCCGCGGCGGGGAGGTGGGGGTCTCCCCGAAGACTGGAAGTTGGGGCGCGCTCCTGCGCGCCCCGCAGGCCGGTGGGGCACAGAGGGGCGAGCCCGCGCGCCCAGGGCCCCCGGCCCGTCTCCCCTTTCCTTCGCCCGCCGCGGCGCCTACCTCCCCGAATCGCGGCGGTGGGAGCCGGGTTCGATCCCGTGATGGAGCGTGGGTGCCGGCCAGAGATCGGCTCCGGAGGCCCGGGCTGCCAGCGCGCGTGTGGCGAGCGCCCCGGGGCGGGGGCCGGGGCGGGACCGGGCGCTGCTATCGGGGCTGGATTTCTCGGCTTCCACCCGGATTCTCCCTCGGCTCTCCCGGCCGATTCGGTGCTGCTCGGCGACCACGTGACGCGGGCTGCCTTTGACCCCTGTTTCCGAGCGAGTAGGGGGCGGGGGCCGGAGGGGGTGTCAGATGCGGGACCCACGAGGGCCCCGGGCGGCTGCCGGGCGTCCGGGAGGCGGTGACCCCCGGGGAAACAAAGCCCGGGGGAAGCCAACAAGTTATTCGAGGTCAAAGAGGGAACAGCGCTGGGGGTCCGAGAGGCTTCGGAGAAAATGAGGGAGACAAAGACCCGCGCCCGCCGCGCCTCCGGGGGCCCCGGGGAGCGCCCTGGCCGGGGCCGAGGGAGGCCTACCGGGCTCTGCCGCCGCTGGGCTTATGACAACCTTCCAGGGCCTCCCCAGACGGCTCCCCCGACAACCAGGTCTCTGCCAGAGTGACCCCTCCTGCGCTCCTGGGCAGGCCTTCACCACCCCACCCCACCTTTGCCCCCACTCTCGAAAACCCCTTCATTTCCTTTATCGTGATTATCTGGTTCATTTACTGGTCTCATTGTTTACTAGAATGTCATCTCCCCCAACAAGTTGTTCCCAGCTGAATCCCCAGAGCCTGGCCCAGAACTGGCAGATGAAGTGGTGGATGACCTTTACAGATTTCTTCTCCCACTGAGCCTCAGTTTCCCATCTCCAGTGTCATTTCAACCATCTCAAGGGCCCTGCAAGTTAGGCAAGACTATAGTGGCCATCCTCATTAAATGGATGGGGACAATGAGGCCCAGAGAGGTGCAATGATTTCTGGGAGTCTCACTGAGAGCTAAGTGGAGTCTGTGCTCAGATCTGACTGCTCTAGGCAGAGGGGCTTTTTGCCCTCTATGAACCATCCTGAATAAGGAGAGATGGGGCAGGGGGAGGGGGGGATTGGATTAGTGAGCCTTGAGGAACTTGCTAATGATGAGGATCACTAGGCCCCTCCCCTGGAGATCCTGACTCTGTGGGCCTGGGGAGAGACTGGGGCAAATTTAGAAAACAGTAGATTGGTAGTTTCCTAAGGACCTTCTGAGGCTCAAGATTAACTGTAGGAACAAAGTTCAAAAAGCATATGAGCAACCAGAGCAGAGCCAAGAGAGGCAGAAAGGCCAAGCTGGACATATGACAGTAGGAGAGACTCATCCCGAGTCCCCTAAAGGGTAACTTTGTGCTGGGGGGAAAGGGGTTTTCAGCTAGCCCACTCATGTCTCAGAGAGGGGAAAGATGCTGAGGCCTGAAGAAGAAGAGATGCTGGGGGATGGGACTGGGCTCCTGACTCCTAGATGTGCCCAAGTGACAGCTCCAGATGGAGTACCATCAGACAGGAATGAGCCTGGTAGTGATGGTCCCAGGCCCAAACTACAGGCCACGTTCAAAAAAGGGGCTTGTGACTTCTTAGTGCATACTCCAGCCCTGCCACCAGTTTGGCCAGGGAATCAGCACCCACCAGCAAATTATCCTTTATAATCTATGTTCCTGTGGTCAATGATCTAAAAGTCCTTGAATATGCTCTGAGTCTTAGGCAGGTTAAACAAGCCCCCTAGAACCTTACTCATGCTAATCTCTGCTTTAGAAGACCATTTCCATCCACATGAGGTCCTGTGAGCTTCTTCTCTGTGCCAGGCACCAAGCTCCTGGTAAGGGAGAAGCAGGGTTGAAAGAGACATGGGTCTACACTCAAGAGATGTATAGGCATGTTTGGAGATGATCCGCATGCCCCTCCCTGTGTCCAGGAGCTGGCTAAGCTGAGTGCCTGCTGTGGAGGCCCAGGGCAAGTGCTATGGCCTACAGTAAGAGGGGAGCAAAATGAGGGAGCTTTTGGGAGAGGCAGCCTCAGAGCAGGATCAGGGGGAATGGGTGGGATTGCAGTGGGGCAAAGGACATGCTCTGCACAAGGAACAGCCCGTGCAAAGGCCACGTGGAAAGTGCTCAGGAAAAGCTGAATGTTGCATGGGTGGGAGGCAGGGGACCGGAGGAGAAGGGCGGAGGTAGCAGGAAGGAAAGAATGAGCAAGAAAACTGGAGAGGTGGGTTAGGAGCAGATTATAGGGGACCTCTTGGGGGAAGCTCCACAGATTGGACACTATCTTGACGGCCTGGTGAAGCAAGAAGGCCATAAGGTGAAGGAGCTGCGGGAAGGTCAAGGGGAAGGGAGGCCGGTCAGGTCACAGAGCCGCATCCTCCCGCCCAGGCTGATTGGGATCTGGCATCAAATCCAAAGCATTTGGGGGGGGCAGCAGTGAGCTGGGGTAACTCCCCATCACTGATAGCTACCTCTTCCTACCCTGTTCATGTCTTTATAGAGTTGCTGTTCACCAAGCTGGCTGCAAGGCCGTCCAGCTTAATGTCACCCAGAAAGCCTGTAAGGAGGCGAGGCCCAGGCCCCACCCAGGGAATTTGCCTCCACGGGACTAGGTGAAGCTGACCTGCACCCCAGGCTGTTCTGAGGAAGACTGTCGAGATGCCCTGTTTCTCCATCCCCTCAGGATCCACCCACACCTCTCAGAGCTTCAGGGATTTTCTTTGTGCTGACAACTCCCCTGCCCACACCCCTTCCTCAGCCCCAGGTGGCCTCTCCACTGCCCACTGAATATGTCCCTTGGCTGTCCCAAGTCAGAGGCTTTATCCGACTCCACAAGTCAGAGGCTGAGCTCATTTCTTCCACCCGATATGCTTCTCTCCCTCCTCCTGTGTCCCCAACTCACATGTCCCGTCCAGAAATCTGACGCCAGCCCCTTGTCCCCGCATCCCATCCAAGAGCCAGTCCTGTTGGTTCTGCCTCCAGCTGTTTTTTAAATCCAGTGCAACCCCATTTCTTCTTCACCATTGCCACCCTAATACAAGCGGCCATCTTGTCTCCACCGTGGCCCATGTTCACAGTCTCTTAATTGCTCTCTCTCCCTCCCTCCCACTTTGCTCCCTCTGATGCAACCTCGTCGGCTCATTTCCTACTTAAAACTACCAATGGCTTCCCATTGATCTTAGGATAAATTCCCTGCCCTGATGTTCAACCTCACCTCTTGTACTAAATGGTATGCCCCACCTTCCCCTTTACCTGACTAATTCTTTGATAAGAGTGTAGACTCAGCCAGACTGCCGGCTTTGAATGCGGGCCTTTCCACTTACAAGCTGTGTGACCTTGGGCCTGTTTGTCAACATTTCTGTGCTCAGCTTCCTTATCTCTAAAATAGGAACAATAATAGTATTGTAGTTCACAGGTTTTTTGTGAGAATTAAATGAGTTAAATATGCCAAGCCTTCAGGGTGGTCTCCGTTAACATGATGAACACTATATATAAGTGTTAGTTGAGTATTAATTGGGATCCTTTAGATCTCAGGCTAAATTTCATTTCTTCCTGGGGCTTTTCCTACACTCCTAATCCAGACCAGGCTTCCGGGTCTACATGCCACATCCCCTTCTTCATCCCCCTTAGTTACTTGTCCACTGCCCATCTCTCCCCCTGGAGTGTAAGCTCTGTGTGGGCAGGCCCTCTTTTGTCTCAGACACCGCTGAGCCCCACGGCCCTGCTCAGCACCAGGCATAGGGTAGGCAACTCGCACACATACGCTAACAAAACAGATGAAATGAAATTCAACAGATTCAGCACCAAATAGATACTGTCTACCTACAAAATGCTCATCAATGGTACTTTATTCATTTATTTATTTGATTTTTTTTTTTTTTAATTTAGAGGGAGAGAATGCTGTGCCCTGGGGGTGGGGAGGGAGGTGTGTAGGGGAGGAGCAAAGGGAGAGGGAGAGAATCTTAAGCAGACTCCACACTGAGCATGGGAACCAGAGGCAGGGCTTGATCTCACCACCCTGAGATCAAGACCTGAGCTGAAATCAAGAGTCAGACGCTTAACTGACTCAGCCACCTGGGCGCCCCTATTTGACATTTTTAAATACCTCTCCTATAGTCTTCCTCATGCCATTCTTATGGGGGAGGACAAGCCAGAGGGACACAGAGATGAACAAGACAGAGGTGGTCCCTGCCTGGGAGGAATGCACAGTCTACTGCAGAGAGACAAGTAAATACAATAGTAGTGTGTTGTTACACTGGCCTGTAACAATTTTGTTCCCTCCCTCAGAGGTCTTCAAAACAACAAAAAGTGAAAAGTAACTGAAAACAGACACAGTTGCTGACTGTAGCCAGCATCCCCAGTTCCTTGTAGGGTTGTCTTTAGAGCAGGAAGGTTAGGCCCTGTCCTAAGGGCATTCAGGCCACACCTCCTCGTCCTCTGTCTGAAGACCTCTTATTCAGCCTTCAAGGCTCCTCTTAAGCAGCACTTCCTCCAGGAAGTCTTCCTGCTCCTGCCAGGGCTCTTTATGGGCCCCAGTCATGGCTTTAGTGATTTTCTAGGACTATCCTGGGATTTGTCAAGAATGATCCAAATTTCATGTCATTTGCTTCTTTAAAAAAATAAAAGGTGATTCAATGAATGTGTAACTACATGTGATTTCATGTTTGGACTTCAGTGGAGGCAGAAAATAGCTTCTGTCAGACCACGTGACCTGATTTGTGGTTTGGAGAATATAGTCACCGTAATTACAGCATTGACCACATGGTGTAACAGTTTCCTCCCCCTCTCTCCTCTCTCTCTCTCTCTCACACACACACACACATGCACACACACGCACACACACACACGCAGGCACGCACAGTGAGTTCTTCCTGGCAGATCTTGATAGTCTCTTAAACGAATAAAGGAGAAAATCTGTGAAATGGGCAGATGATTCATGCTTCAGATGGACAATGGATATAAAATGTTTGGGAAACCAACCAAAGACTATCTGAGGTGGGGGATAGGAGCAATTAACAGCAATTAATTACTTGCTCTGGTGCATGCCACCCGCTTTCTGTTTGTTACTCAGCAACCCAGATGGCGTGAAGCTCAGAAAGGTGAAGCAACTTCCCCAAGGTCACCCAGACAGGAGTGGCAGAGATTTCCAATCCAGGTCCATCCAACTAAAAGACTGAGTTCTTGTCACTATTCACCCCACCTTGCAGGTGCCCAGGGGCCATGAGCCCCCACGTTGTCCAAGACCACCTAGGTTCTGCAC